GGTATGGCGGCGGGCGGCGGGGCCAAGGCGGGGGGGGTCCGACCTCTGCCGGCCCGCTCACCCCGCTGCCCGCAGGTCAGCTGGGGCGGGCGGTGAGCCGCTGCCCGCAGCTCTTCACCTTACCGCGGAGGAGGATGGCGGCAGCGGTGCGGCTGCTGCGGGAGCAGTGCCTCTTCACGGCCGAGCAGCTGAGGGAGGTGCTGGGGACCTGCCCCGCCGTGCTTCTGGAGGAGCCGCGCCGCCTCCACCATCACTTCCAGGTGAGGGGGCCCGGCCGCGGCGGGGAGCGGGGAGCCGGGGGCGAGGCAGTGCGGGAAACGGTCTGTCCCGCCCGCAGTACGCCTACTTCAGGATGGGGGTCCGGCAGAAGGAGATGGTGAGGGCCCGTCTTTTCCGAACGCCCTTTGCCGAGCTGAGGAACCGGCACATCTTCCTGGAGCGCCGGGGGCTCTACCAGACCCCGCACAAAGGCCAGACCCAAAGCAGTAACCCCAAACTGAGGGACATCCTCCACCTCCCCGAGAAGGACTTCCTGGCCAGCCTGGCCCACGCCACCCCGGAGGAGTACGAGGTCTTCAAGAAGCTGCTGGCTCGAGAGGAGGAAGAAGAGGAGGAGGAGGAGGAGGACAGGGATGCACTGGACACAGAGGAAGATGAAGACTTTGAGAGTGAAGGAAGTAAAACAGCCTGGCAGTGAAGAGGTGAGGCTCCAGGATGCCCAGGCTCTCCCATGCTGGCACACTCCCTGCCCCTCTGCACTCCTGGGTGCTTGGGGTCCCCACCCCCCACACACAGAAGCTGGGGTGGCTGCAAGGCCCCACCAAGGGGCAGCAATAAATCCCATATATCAGAATTGAACAATAACCTTCATTCCTCTTTATTGACTAGCTACTTAAAAAAAAATACCCACTTTCCATAAAGTGTTTTTATTAAAAAAAAAAAACCCAAACCACAAACAAACCAAAATAACTAATTTATTTCCAAGGCTAGGTTAAAACCTTCTGGCTGTGTTACATATCTTGCTGGCCGGGGGGGCAGGAGGCAACAAGCTACTGTACTGGCTCACAGCAGGGACCACGCTTCCCCTTGCTGCTGGGACAGGCCCCATGGCAGCACTTGAAATGGGACCATCCCATGGCAGGGCCACCTCCACATTCACAGCCCATGTTGGCACTGGTCTTGTGGCTGTCAAGGCAGGGGTGCAAACCTTTCTTGACCACGGCCCCAGACCTCCCCCTGCCCCGTGGATAGCAGAGGTTGTGCTGGCTTTGCCCTTGCCCTGCCTTTCCAGGCAAGGGCTGGCTTCTTCATCTGCCCTGGGGAGGCAGGGCTGCTGTATTGGCCTTGCGGCAGTAGGGCTGGAGCAGGACCAGGCAGCCTTGGAAGAGGCTTGGCCGTCTCCGGTTCTGATTCCAGGAGCAGAGCTGGAGCCTGTGGAGGAGGGGAGCATCACGCTGGCCAGCTGGTTGGGTCGTGGCTTTGCATCGTCCTTGCTGCTCCCAGGCTGCTGCTGCAGGCCCAGCACTCTTCCCTGTGCCCAGGAGGGAGAGGGTGGTGCCGGGAGCGACAAAACTCCTGGGCCTGTTCCACTCCAAGAGCATCTTTGAGGCTGCAGCTCAACGCTTGTGGCTGAACTAAGCACCCTGCAACGCTGGCAGGAGGGGAAGGCTGCCCCCCACAGTGCTGGGGAAATAACACTCTATACCATAACTACAATATATCTCCGGTATGTATTAATTTATAATATACACTGTGTAGTTTAATACACAAATCTATGTTTAACTAGTGTTGTCATACAAACTCACAAAAACTAGGAACACTTCTAAGCTATACTTTTTCCTGGGCCCCCCGCCACAGCCGATGGGGCAGCAGCCGTGCACTAGTCCTCTTTTCTGCAAACGACACAGCGCCTGCATCACGACATGGGCTGGTGCCACGGGGAACACCAACGCTCTGAGCAGCTCAGGGGGATGGCATGTGGAGCTCACTTCGTTGCTGAACCCATACCATGCCCTGTAATGGCTTGGAGATGATTAGCATCAGAACAAGCACAGCGTTACACCTCAGCTGACAAACTTCACCCTACAGATCACTTTTAAAGTTCTTTCTAGGTGCTCTATTGCTTTCTGAATTTGAAATTTGGTTAAAACTAGGGATTGTTTACAAAGCAAAGAAAAAAGGCAGGCAGTAGAAGCTGCCTCAGTTTCCCCTGCTAGAGCAGAGGAGAGAGGGACCTGCCTCTACTGCTGGTGCTGACCCTGCTGCTCAGGGAAGCTGCTCACCATTTCTAACTTATCTATACAGGAAAGGTCTCCTCGAATCAGATTTTTGTGGGCCACATTTCGGGTGATAGCTAAGGCTTTTTGGTCTGCATTAAACCATTTTATTTTGGGGGTTATTGGCAATTTATAACCCTGGGTTATGAAAACAGGTGGGTGCAGATGCTGTTGGCAGAGAGCTGGGCCTGAGCAGAGCTGGGAGCCCAGCACTCATGCAGAGCAGCTGGGGAGGCCGAGCAGGGCTAGTCCCCTCGGGGTCGGGGGGCAGCCAGCCAGGTGCTGCAGTACACTGCCACTCAGCTCCTCAGGGGCAAAGAGGTGGCCAGAGCAAGGCAAGCCAGAGCGAAGGCAGTGCTGGTCCAGCAGGAGGAAGGGAGCGCTGCTCGGCATGCCGATCCAGCTGCGTGTGCGTAACGGGCTGGAGGAGAGGGAAAGGCTGACACCAGGCAGGAAGGTTCCCCTGCTGTGTTCAACCCAGTGAGCAGATCTATCTTCCTGGTGTTTCAAAAGCCCTTAGCTGTGGAAAGACAAAGCTTCTACTACTTTGAGCCCTGTGAAGAAGCAGGAGAAGAATGAGCTAGGGTGCAGAGCCCCCCCAAAAGCCCCGCAGCTCCCTCTTCCCACTCCGTGCCCATCTCAGGCTGGGAGAAAGTGACCTGCCCCAGCCTTTGCCTTGCACAGGCAGGCAGCACCCGGGCCCTTTGTGCACAAGAGCCTCTTCTTCACGGGGCTGCAGACCCACAGGGAAGCAGGGCATTGCCTTCTGCTCCTCCACCCTGGCCACAACCAGGAGCCTTTAGCTGCGTGCCCAAGCCCAACCAGTGCAGCAGCTGGAGAGCCCTCACAGCCCTTCAACATGATGATCTGAGCCTGGACTGTGCTCTGACCTCCACCCTTCCCCCCCTGCGGCTGAGGAGGGCCTGGAGCGGGTACTCACTCTATGGCTTCCTCAGTGTGTGACTGTTGCTTGGTTTTCTGAAAGGGAAGGGAAGAGAGCAGTCAGCCCTGCCCTGCAGTTTCTGGGCTGTCGCACGCAGGGAGGGCACACAGCTGGCCTCAGCCTCACAAGCATTCATGGGATGGCTGCACCCCTCTCCCAGTCCACCCCCAACCTAGGCACCCCTGTGCCATGCCGAGTGACACCAGCCAGCTGCATTCTCCCATCCTGGGCCGCAGGAAGGCTGGCACACTCTGTGTGCTGCTGCTAAGCCATTACCTGCTTGTTTTCTTCTTGGAACCGGTGCTTTCGCAGTTCTCCTTGTGGCAGACATCCTGGTGTACCTTGTAGACTCTCCTGTACCTGCACACACAGCAGAGGGGCAAGTTGTTAGAAAAACAGGGACAGATCTGCTTTTATGAGTGTGAGGGGGGAGCCAGGGGTTTCCCCATTTCCTTCCAGGCTACGGTAACCAGCCTTGGTAGAAACAGGGCTGAGTCTGCTGTGCTTGAGGGCTGACCCCACATACCCAGGCCCTTGTACCTCCACCACAGGAAGGCTGCAGGGCTTCAAGGGGCAGAGCAGAAGGCCCCCCCCCCAGCCCACACCCTGACGTTGCAGCAGGGCTGGCCCCAGCCATCTCCTTGCAGATGGAGAGGCAGCTAGGAACTGGCCTGGCAGGGGGATCAAGGACACCAAATCGAACCTTGCTGCCATGTAGGTGGGTAACACTGCTACAGGGCTGTCATTTCAGCAACACCCTGCCCTGAGATGCAGCTGGCAGGGCAGCCCTGGGGGCTCGAGGGCAGACAAGGCTGCTGAGCTTGCACTGGGGAGGGGGCAGCTGCCAGACGGGGTCTGAGACGGCCTCGCACTTGCTCTCCCTTCCCCAGAGCTAAGCTGCAGGGAGATGTCCCCGGCTCTGAGCACAAGGGGAAGGGGGGAGCACAACCCGCAGGCAGTACTCACAGGTAGTGGCAGGTGCCTCCTTGCCACACAGGGAATGACTTGGTTTCCGAATACAGCCGTGTGCATGAGTGTGGCACCTTCTTGCAGGCTGCTTGGGGAACAGGAGAGGGGAGCTATCAACAAGCCTGTCACTGGCCCTGCCTGCCTGTACCCTGTGGCAGGGGGCCTGCGAGGGCCCCGTGGATTCCCCTCTGCTGTCCTGGAAGGCTGGGCTCAACAGAGCTGACCCCCCAGGAGAGGCAGAGCCCCCAGCCCTGCAGTGCCCCGATAACTATGTGGGCAGGGCAGGAGCCTGGCTTGCCAGGCTGCCTGGTGGAGGCAGAGGGCTCGACCAGAAGCAGGGAGCAGACCTGTGCTACCAGATCTGCTCAAACTGCCACGAGCAGAGCCTTAGCCTTTCTCTCCACTGTTAGCACAGCACAGCCCTCTCTAGCAGAGACTGGGCATGGCAGGAGCTCCCCTGGTCAGGAGGAGCCAGGCGGTGACAATGGTGACCTGGGGACCCATGGCTGGCCAGGCTGTGCACATGCCATCCACCTGCAGGAGGGAGTCTGGCTCTCTTGCAGCAGCATGGCACTCACCCAGCTCGCAGAGCCGGCCCTTGAATCCTGGGCGGCAGTCACAGTGGTAAGACTTGCTATCCCTGGAGCAGACACCTCCATTCCTACAGGGGTTTGTGGAGCAGTTCTGCCCCTCACCTGCAAAACAAGTACAACCATCAGACCCCAGGGCCACGATGCAGCCCAGCCTCAGGGTGCTCCCCCAGCATGCCAGGGTGCTCCTGGGGAGAGCTATGAGCAGGGATGGGGCAGCTGGCAGGAGCCCACACTGTGGCCCTTGCATGCCTCCTGGCAGAGCAGCAACAAGGAGAGCAAGCTGGTGCCAAGCGCGCTGCCTGCCTGCCTGCAGGGCCTAGGGTGGGTTCCTGCTGCTCATCTCTCTCCCCCTGGACTTACTCTTGCTCTTTCCCTCATGCAGCTGCAGTGCCAGACTGCCCTGGATGGACACCTCCACATTCTCCAGCTTCACTGGTGCCTCTGGCTCTGGGCAAATAGAGGGTCAAATGTCATCTCCAGCCAGGGCCAGACCCAAAGGCAGCTCCCTCCAATGGGATCCAGCCTGCCTGTAGCATCAGGGGGCTAGTGAGGCCTGAAGCAAGTGGTTTAGCCAAGGTGGCACCCCTTGATCTAGGGGGACCTCCTCACCCTTCCTGGAGGGTTGTGGGACACACAGCATGTGCAGCAAGTCCAGGGCTGCTGTCAGGTGTGTAAGGCCCCTTCCCCAACCCATGGCATGGGGTTCCCAGGCCTGGTAGGGTATCTTGGGCTGGCACATGTATCCCTGGTGTTCCAGGGATGGCAAATGGAGGGCTGGTCCTGTGCTAGCAAGGGACTTTTTGCCCAGGCACCCTCCTTGAGTGTGAGGCTGTGCTTGACAGTCAGGGCTCAGGTTTCTGGACATGCTGGGGCTGCACTGAAGGGCTGCAGAGTCACTGTCTGGGCTCCTGCTGGTACTGGCAGGAGAGAAGTCCAGCCCATGCCGCAGCCAGCATTGCCTCCCATCAGCGAGGTCCCTCTCTGGGCTCCCCGACAGGCTGTGCATCATCTCTGCCTCTCCCTGGGCAGGGGTCTAGCAAGCAGGACAGGTGTTTGCCCAGGGAAAGGCGATGGGGCTCTCCCCTCTTCTATAGCTTCCCCCAGCAGCCTACCTGGCTGCCACCCTGAAGATGGCACTGGGTGACAGGAGGGGACAGAAAAGCAAGTGGAGCACTTACGTGTCTTCACAGTTATGGATTTGCCCAGTGCAGTGCCAAACCTGGTGCTGATCCTCCCTCTGCCATCTACCAGCTCAGTGAACCTGGGACAGAATAGCCGTGAGGGTACAGGGCACTGCAGGTCCCCCAGACCACAGCCACCCCATGCGCTAGGCCTGGGGGCAGCTGGACAAAGCAGTTGCTGGCAGCATCAGGCTCCATGCGAGTCCCATGGGCTCAGCTGTGAGTAGTGTGGGTGACCTGCTCGCAGTGCCTACCTGGGGGCTGGTGAGGGCTCCTCAGCTGTGTCGTGATCTGCTAGCAAGCGGAGTTCAGGTAGGAAAGCTGGGGGCAGCCTGTTGCGCAGGACCCGGGAGTGTCCAGCTGGGCTCCACCGTCTCTCTGGAACCCCATCCCTCTGCACTACAGACAAAAAGGGTTAGGCTTAGCAGGAGGCAGGCTGACAGCACAGCAACTCGGCTCCCAGACAGGCCCTCCCATCCGCAGGCTGCCATTTAGGGCTGAGTGCCAGCCCCCGTGAAGCATCACTGAGCTGCAACTCTGCATCTGCCCTCCACTAATGGCGGTGGCACCCTGCAACACCCACCTCCCTTTGCAAGGGACCTGTGTCCTTGTCCCCAGAGCCTGCTTCAGGCAACTGGTTCTGGGGCAGCAAGTCCCCATGGGCTTGTTACTCTGTTAGTCTACTGGCTTCTGCCCCGCTTCCCCATTAGCCCATCGCCTCCCTTGTGCTGCAGCAAACCAGCAGCACCCCTGCTGTGGCAAGCCAGGCACTCACAGGTGGTGACGAAGAGGTGGATGGGCTCGCTGTGCACTTGGCCTTGCTCTGTGTTCTGCACAGCCGTCACAGACAGGCGGTATCGCTGCCCAGGGAGTAGGTCCCGCACCATGTAGGACACAAGCTTTCCGTTGGGCACATAGCGGCTCTTCACGCTCTGAGTAGTGGTGACATTGATGATGTATCCCTCCACAGCACCAGCAGGCGGCTGCTCCCACGCCATGGACACAGAGGTGGCGGTGACACGGGAGGCAGTAAGGTTTTGGGGAGGGAGAGGCCCTGGGGCAGGCAGGAGGTAGGGAGAAAAGGGGTTAGTTCTGGTGTCCTTGAATGGCAACTGCCCTACTTGCTCGCGCACCATCTCAGAAGCATGCCAGGATTCCAGCTTTCCCAGCTATGCCCCAGCCAGCCCTCAGCCCAGCTCCAGCCGTGCAATGCACTGGGAAGAGGTACTCAGCACTGGGTCCCTGCCAAGGCGGGTAAAGCCTCACTGCACCCTGGCACCTGGGTCTGGCCCTCACCCTCCAGCTGCCATACAGCAGGGACCGAATCAGGCCCATGCAGGCTCCACATGGGACTGAGGTCATGCTGGTCTTGGGCAGTCAACAACATCTGGCAGGGAAGGACACACTACTGTCTCTCGCCTGGCCTTCCCGAGGGCTGCCTGCACACCTCCTACCTGCTGTGCTGGCCAGACAGGCTGACTGCTTTCACACCTTCCCCTCCCTGCAGCTTTCCTGCTGGCCATGAGCCGTGGCTGCCCCGTGCCTGCCAAGCCCCAGGGTCCCTGCAATAGCAGGAGATGTGAAGGCAACCCCACTCACTTGTCCACACGTGGAAGGGGGCTGTGGCCAGACTCTCTGAGGGGTGGTCTTCTGTCCCCACGCCGCTCAGCGTTGTGACATGAATGATGTACCTCTCTCCTGGCTGCAGGTCCCTGTGGAGGAGGAAGGCAGGGTGGGAAGGGATAAGCTGAGCAGCCTGGGGGGGGCCAGCTGGCCCAGCACCCACCTGCTGCCCCACTCACAGGAAGGTGTACTTGGCCACACTGCTGTTCAGCTCCACGGTGCGGTCTGCCAGGTCCCCCGGCTGGCGGATGGAGACACGCACCCTACTGACAGTGGAGTGCTTGAGCCGGTGGAGAGCCCATTGCACCGTGATGGCACTGGCCGTCACGTTCATGATCTCAAAGCCTTCCACCGGACGCGGTCCTGGCCAGAGCAAGTGGAGAGGACTGCAGTCAGCCACTGGTCATCATGGGGCGCCCCATCCCTTCTCCAGACCCCCACATGGGGAGTCCTGCCTGCCCCTCTGGGTTCATTTCCCCAGCAGAACCAGCTCAGTGCTACCTCCCCTGCCAAACTCACGCTCTCCTGTCCTCCCTGGAGGTGCAGACACGTCAGGTGGGAGGCACATCTGTCTGTCTGCCTGCCTGCAAGGTCTCCTTGCTGTGCATAGCACCCCTTGGACTGTCCTTCTCTGGCCCAAGTACCCACCATGAGCTCCAAAGGGGCTGCAGTGCCTGTGCCTGGCCCACTGCACACCCAGGCATCCATTCTGAGCCCAGTTCTCCCTGGCTTGAGGCCTCCCAAGATGCTATGGCTGGGGGCACAGTCCCATACTGTGCCCATGCCTGCCTTCTCCTCCCCTTGGCTTCTCTCGGTCTTAGCCTACTGGGGGGAGGGAGAAAAGGGGATGTGGCCCACCACCATTCCCCTCTCATTAAGAGGGCAGTTTTTCTACGTCTAAATCTCCTTCATCCTCAGTTTGCTCTTGATTTCTACATCCGCATGCCCTAGAAAGCAGGACCACAGCTGCTCCACCTGTCCGTGCCCCCACAAAGGCATCACTGTGCCCCCTTCCCTCTGCCTGTGGAGCAGAGGTCCCGGCCAGCCTCTGCCTACTCTGGCACCCCTCTGCTGAGCCCGGTGGGGCGACTCGCCCACAGGGCTCATTGTCATTAGAGATCACCCAGACACACTGCTTGGCTGGCGTGGGGGCTTCTGCAGCTCAACCAAGCAGCACCAGGGACCTGCACTACTGTAGGCCCAGTGACAAGGCATAACTGATGTGGCGGGTGCAGCCTGGCCCTGACGAACAGGCTCTAGGAGTGGTCCCTGCTGCCAGCTCCCTTACCAGCCCACGGGCACAGGCCCGGTGAGCTGCAGGGCGTTTGGTACCTTTTTACTCATAGTAAAGAGAATGGCAAGTCTCTGTACCGAATGCTTTCCAAAGGCCCCTGCCTGGATTTTAGGATCTGTACCATCAAACCCATCAAGGTTTGGCACAGGCCTGAGCTGTGGCTGGAGCCGGCGGCAGGGAGGAGGCGGCACAAGCCCTGGTGCCTGCGGGGGCCACACGTGCTCACAACCGCGATCCCCCGGGAACACTACTCACTAGTGCGCGTGGTGAGCATGACGGGCCTGCTGATATCATTCTTGTTGTTCACGTTGCGTTTGACTGAAAAGACAGAAATATTGTAGGCTCTGCCGGAGGCTAGTGCCCGCAATTGGTGGGCAGAACGACTTCGGTCCACAAAATCTGTCCTGCGGTAAGAGCCGTCGAGGGATACGTACGTCACGGCGTAGCCGTCAATGAGTTGCCTGGCGGCTGCATCCTCAGGTGGGTGCCAAGAAATCAACACACCAGTGTCCTCCACCCTTTCCACCTTTAATGAGGTTGGTGGCAGCAATTCTTCAGGGTGTGGGCAAAAGCAAAGGGGAGAGGTAACGCCATGAATCTTTAGAGAACAGACCGCAGCAGCAAGAGGCAGAGTGGCAGCAATTGAGGATGGGGCCCTCGCTCTCTCCCTCGGCATGCCTGGCAGGGGCCCTGAGGGCACCAGCCGCCACCAGCCTGGCAGGCACAGGAGGAGTCAGGAGCACTCCCAGCCACTGCGACCTGGCAGCACCCGCGGCCGAGCGTTTGCCACTGCCTGCCAGGCCTAGGGCAGCAGCAAGACAGGGCAAGGGGCCTCGGGGAGGCTGGTGCCAGTGGCAAGAGGCTTCTCTTGGACACCTCGGCCTCCACTCCTGAGGGCATCCCAGGGATTGCTGTTGCTGCAGGGGGCTCAGGGAAACCTGACCCCAGCATCCTCATGCTGAGCCCAGCCCCAGCAGCTCGGCGCAGCTCAGCACACCAGCACCCGCCCGTGGCATCGGTGGGGCCTGGGCTGCCCCCCATGGAGGTGAGGCCCCAGCCTTGCCTGCCTCAAGGATTGCTGCTGGTCTGGGATGGCGTCGAGCCCCTTGCAGGTGGTGGCCAGTGCCAGGCTGGCACCAAGCCCCGCGCCGCATCCTGGTGCCACTGCTGAGGGCCTTTACCTTTTTCGCAGCTCTTGCCTGTGTAGCTGACTTTGCAGGTGCAGCTGTGGGTGCCATTGCTGGGTAGGCAGTAGCCTCTGCTCCCACAGGGGCTGGAGAAGCACGGGTCACTGGCTGTGGGAGAGGCGCCAGGCCCAGCAGTGTTAGCAGTGCTGGCCAGCCAAATGGCCACCCCACGCCAAGCCGCCCTTCCCGCCTCACCTGTCTCACAGTGGTAGCCGAAGAAACCCTCTGGACACACACAGAGGTAGGAGCCTCCGTAGCTCTCACACTCCCCTCCATTTCGGCAAGGGCCCGACTCACAGGCATCCACTTCTGGAGGTGGGAAGAGGCCAGCAGTGAAGGGGGGGCCCAGCATGCCAGCAGCCAGCTCCCGCAGGTGAGCAACAGCGACAGCCCCCCGAGGACAGCAGGATGGACATGCAGCCCGGGGGCTCAGCACAGCTGGTCTAGACTCAGAATCCCACCCAAGCGCCACAGCGGATCCACCACTGGTGGACACCTTGTTCCTTGCTCCCACCTCACCGAAGCCGTTTCAGCTCAGTCCCCAAAATCACAGGCAAGGAGGTGTGACAGGCAGCAAGCATGCAGGGTGATGGCTCAGGGTCCAGTGGTCCAAGGTGGCAACCAGCTGCCTGGCTTGGTACTGGTCCTGGCTGCATCCCAGTGTTGAGGCTCCCGCCACCCCAGGAAGGATGAGTCCCTACCTGTCTCACACTGAGTCCCCACAAAGCCCTCGGGACAGTAGCAAGCAAAGGACCCCAGGAGGTCGTGGCAGGTCGCACCATTCTTACAGGGCTCTGACTGGCACTCGTTGACATCTGGGGAGTGGCAGGAGGAGAGGGGCCGGCTCAGCACAGCAACTGGGGATGGGGGCCTCATAGAGGCATCACTTCCCCCCCAGAGCAAGGACACTCCCCACATTGCTCACTATCCCTAGACCCAGCAGCCAGGAACAGCCCCACTCCTGAGCCCACTGCCCCAAGCCTGACCCTGCGCAGGGGCTGTGGTGGGAGGTAGGCATGGGGAGATGCCCACAGGGACACCTGGCAGTGTGGGCTGTGAGAAGAGGTCCCATAGGGTGCCTGTGGCATGTCCCCTCCTGTAACTCCCACCCTCTCCTACCACCGTTCTCTGCCAGGCCCTGAGAAGCTGGGCTAGTGCCACCTGCCAGTGTCACACCAGCCCCCCTGCTACCCATCACCCCCTTCAACCAGTGCCCACACACAACCACAACCATGTGCGTGCATCGGAGGGGGAGCACAGCTGAAAATGTGTGACGTCAAGCTGCCTTCCCTGCCCTCTCTTGGCCAAAAACTTTGGCCAAGGGCACACGCAAGGCACATCCCACCCAGTTCCCAAGATCTGGGGCTTATCTGCATGGGCTTAACATGAGTCAGGAGATGTCACTGCCCCATCAATGATGGAGATGCCCACAGAGCAGCCATTAGCGGAGGGATACAAGTAGCACACATGTCCCACAGCCCTGCCTCCTCCTCTGCCCGAATGGGAGCAGCATCTCCCTGTCAGCACACCCCATAGCTGGCAGGGGTGCTCCAGGAGAGGAGCCCTTGCCGCAGGCTGATTTGAGCACACAGACAGAAGATTGAAGCCAGTGCACACAACCACAGGCAGCCCAGCTTCTGACCGTGGGGTCTGCGCCTTCCTGGGGCTGGGGGGTGAGGGAGGCTTTACCACAGCTGCCTACAGCAGCCCTGGGCACAGTCTTACCTGACTCGCAGTGATGGCCGGTGTAACCTGGCTCACACAGGCACAGGAACTCGGCAACATGGTCCTTGCACTGGCCACCGTTCAGGCAGGGCTGGGACCAGCACTCATCAATCTCTGCAGGCGTTCAGGCAGAAAAGAAACAAGATGAGAGACATGAGTCCCCAGGGGCTGTCTGCAGACATGGGCAGAAGAGGACTGCAATATGCACCCTGGGGTCACCAAGCCATAGTTGTGACCGCAGCCTGCTGGGACGGTGCCCCAGGGCTGGGGCTGCTCCCCAGCACTCCTCACCATTGCATTCGGGGGGGTCGCTCCAGACTCCTGGCAACTGGCAGACACGGGGGTGGTTGTGCTGACTGAGGATGTAGCCCAGCTCACACTGGTATTCAGCAAGCGAGCCCACTTTGGTGGAGTTGAAAGAGGCCCGGGCATGCTTCACCTCACTGGGGATACCGCAGTCAACCTCTGGGGAGAGATGGAGGTTGAGGGTGAGTGGGACCTGCAGAGGCACCCCAAGCCCCCAGCTTGCAGCCCAAGGCCCTTACCAGACTGGCAGTGCTTCCCTACATAGCCTATAGGGCACGTGCAAGCATAGCCCCCGTCAAGGTCCCTGCAGGTAGCACCATTCTCACAGGGGCTGGGGAAGCATGGGGAGGACACTAGAAGAAGAACGGAGCAAAGAGCAACTGCTGTTGAGCTGGCAGAACCCAGAAATCAGAGCCATCCCCTTTCCCCCTTCTGGCGGTGCAGCCCTGCCCTCCAGCTAGGGTGCAAGGAATAGTTGAAGCACTTCCAATTACAGGGCCGGGGTTCAAAGCAAGCAGTGAGGGAGGGCTCACTTGCTGCCACTGCGGCTGTCAGCTCCGCCAGCAGCCCCAACACCTCCCCAGCACTGTCCCGCCATGCTCACACCTACCGATCTCGCAGTGCCGGCCAGTGTAGCCCAGGGGACAGTCGCACTTGTACTTGCCAATGTAGTGGAAGCAGGTACCCCCATTCTGGCAGGGCCCCGAGGCACAGGGGTCCGGCTTACCTGGGGGCAGAGGGCAGGCAGAAGGTGAGTAGCAAGCAGGATGACTTACCACCTCTCCTCCCCAGGTGGGGACTAGGGGGTCATACCAATCTCACAGTGCTTGCCGGTGAAGCGGTAGGGGCAGGTGCAGTGGTACTCGCCATCCACCTCCCTGCAGGTGCCCCCGTTGCGACAGGGCCCCATGCTGCAGAGCCGTGGTTTGGCTGAAGAAAGAGCACCGAGAGTAGGGGGGTCACCCACTGCTGCTGGCACACTGAGAGCCACTGCCACCCACCAGCACCCCACCAAACCCCTTGCTGTGGGAAAGCCGAGCGCACCTGAGCCTCACAGCTCTGGGCTTGGAAACACCACTGTCCAGACATGTGTCAGGGCCTCAGAGGGCCACAGGCACATAATGTCAGGGAACTAGCGGAAACTCAGACATATAAAGAACTCCAACACTGATGGTGTTGTGCAGGAAACACAACTGGATCAGCTGCTGTAAACTGCCAGGGGCCATGAAGGGAGCACCACAATCCTACCTCCACCCTGTCAGGATGGGATGGGATAACCTGCACCCACTTTCAGCTGCAGCTCAGCAAGCAGCTGCTCGTCTCCCACAAAGGTTCAAGCTCTTCTCCCACCCCCTGCCAGGTCCAGGGGTGTTAGAGAGTTCTGCACAGGTACCTTTCTCGCAGTGCTTGCCAAGGAAGCCTCGAGGACACTCACAGGTGTAGGAGTCGTCGTGAGCCTCACAGGACCCCCCATTCAGACAGGGCTCAGAATCACAGGGGGATGGCATCGCTGAAAAGTCAGACATGGGGTATCACTGAGGATGTACAAGCAGGGGTGCGAGGGCTGCTGCTGGTAGCCCTGTTCACTGCCCTGGCTCCTGCCTCATCCCTCCCCAGGTCTGGTCCCACATTGCCACAGATGAGACTTACTGTGGTTGGTGCCATAGTCAGTGTGGCAGACGCAGAGGTAGCTCCCACCATACTCCATGCAGTACCCGCCATCTGGGCACTGCGTGTTCATGTTGCACGGTGTGGTTGTGACTTCTGCAAACACAAGGCCAGCACCAGCCTCCATCAGCTGGCAGCAGGAGGACACCCAGCTGCCTGCCTGGCCAGAAACAGGGGTATCCTAACTGCAGGGTCTGATGAGACAGGAGGGACCCTCTGTACCCCACGCCACAGACTGTGCAAATGGCAAGGGCCAGCCTGGATGCCCAGAAAGCTTCGGAGTGGGAGCACACAAAGGCTGCAGTTCCCTCCCTACCCAGGGGAGCCAGGCTAGCCCAGGGGCTGGGAGAGGCATGGATCAAAGGAAAACAGTGCTGCCTTCTCCCCAGGGGACAATATTCCCAGGTTCAAATACAGTGCATGCCCCTGCTACTGTGCTAGGCTTAGGCATGGGCAGGGTATCTCCTTGCTTGCCTATGGCCTGCCTGGGTCAAGCATCCCGGAAAGGGAACAAATACGGTGAGCAAGAAGCCTTCACCCACCAAATTCACAGAGGACACCAAAAAACCCAGGCGGGCACTGACAGATGGTGATGTTCCCCTCCAGACAACTGCCGCCGTTGCGACACTCGCAGCCCTCCAAGAGCTCTGCAAGAGAAGAGATGAGAGCTTCCTAGGACCCCTCCTGCTTGCAGGGCTGGGACAACCAAGTAGTCTTGCTGGGTGCTACCCATGGTAGGAGCTCAGGTGGGTGGCAGCCACAAGCTCCCCCAGACACCCAGGCACAGCCTCCTTCAGCAGGATGGATTGGCTGTTCAGTCCAGGAGCCCTGAATGAACTCTCTGGGGCTGCTGCTTCTCCCTCCCAGGAGCACGAGGGCCCCCCTAGAGATGCGACACCACACCCGAGAGGTGCCCCGGTACTCACTATCTCGACAGTCCTGCCCCGTGTAGCCCTCCTGGCATTCACAGACGTAGCCCTGCTCTGTCTCCAGGCAGCTGCCCGCGTTCTGGCACGGGTGGGAGAGGCAGGCACTGGGCACACGGGGCCCACCTGCGGGGAAGAGGGAGGCTGAGCCAGAGCCATCCCGGCCTGAGGATGGAACACCTCTGTCCCAGGGAAGCTGGAACAGAGCCAGCCTAGCCCAGCTTCACGTCCGACACCCCACCGTGGCCAAGCAGCCCCAATGGAAGGAGCTGCCTCCTGGCAGCACCACGACTGGTGGGAGTGTTGATCTGCTTGAGGGTTGGAAGGCTATACAGAGGGATCTAGACAGGTTGGATCAATGGGCCAAGGCCAATGGGATGAGGTTTAATAAGGCCAAGTGCCGGGTCCTGCATTTTGGTCACAACAACCCTGGGCAACGCTACAGGCTAGGGGAAGAGTGGCTGGAAAGCTGCCCGGCAGAAAAGGACCTGGGGGTGTTGGTGGACAGCCGGCTGAACATGAGCCAGCAGTGTGCCCAGGTGGCCAAGAGGGTCAATGGCCTCCTGGCCTGTATCAGGAATAGCGTGGCCAGCAGGAGTAGGGAAGTCATCGTGCCTCTGTACTCGGCTTTGGTGAGGCCTCACCTCGAGTACTGTGTTCAGTTTTGGGCCCCTCACTACAGGAAAGACATTGAAGTGCTGGAGCGTGTCCAGAGGAGAGCCACCAAGCTGGTGAGGGGTCTGGAGAACAAGTCATGTGAGGAGAGGCTGAGGTAACTGGGCATGTTTAGCTTGGAGAAGAGGAGGCTGAGGGGAGACCTCATTGCCCTCTACAACTACCTGAAAGGAGGGTATAGAGAGGCGGGGGTTGGCCTCTTCTCCCAAAGGAATAATGACAGGACCAGAGGTAATGGTATGAAGCTGCGGCAGGGGAGATTCAGATTAGATATTAGGAAGAATTACTTTACTGAAAGAGTGGTCAGGCCCTGGAACAGCCTGCCCAGGGAGGTGGTGGAGTCACCATCCCTGGAGGGATTTAAGAAACGTGTAGACGTGGCTCTTCAGGGCATGCTCTAGTGCTCAATATTATAGGTTTGTGGTGGGGTGTAGTATGTGGGGTTGTGGGTGTGGGGTTTAGTTGGTGGGTGGTGGTTTTGGGTTTGTTGGTTTTGTGGTGGTTGTGTGGGGTGGGTTTTTTTGGTTTTGTTTTTGTTTTTTGTGGTTGGACTCGATGATCTCGGAGGTCCCTTCCAACCACTAAGATTCTGTGATTCTGTGACCCCTCCACACACACTGCTTTTGGTAGTGCCTACGGCTGATGCAGCCCCTTTTTAGCCATTTTCCCCTTCCCACCCAGCTCTCCCAGAACCGACCCCCACGCTGGGCTGGGTGAGGTGTCCCTCCACTCACCGTACTGGCAGTTGTTGCCATAATAACCTGGGGAGCAGGTGCAGATGTAGCGGCCGGGGCGGATGTAGTTGCATGTCTGCCGGATCCGGCAGCTCCGGTCTTCACAGGAAGACGAGTCTGGTGGGGAGGGAAAGCAAACAAGCGAAAGATGAGCAGAGCCTGCCCCGGGAGAGGGGCCATGACGGGCAGCAGAGCACAGGGACACAGTCCCTGGTGTGGGTCATCCCGGGGTACAGGCACCTTTCTCACAGCGCTGTCCCACGAAGGGCTCCAGGCACACACAGGTGTAGTTATTGACCAGGTCAACGCAGTGCCCACCGTTCAGGCATGGGTTGGACTCACACTCGTTCACTTCTGCAAGGGGAGGCCAGGAGGGGTTGTCAGGCCGTGCATGGGCACTGCTGGTTCACCCAGATCCTCCCATCCTGGATGATGCTCAGGAGGAGGAAAGCAACAGCCGTGGCGGGGGGAAATAAATAAATAAAATTTAAAAAAATCTGTGCCACCAGCAATGCCGAGCACTCCCTTCTTGAAACTATGGCTGGGGGTGAAGCAGGATGGGAAGGCAGCTTGCCAAGGTGTGAAGTGTCACCATCTCCCCCTGGCACTTGCTCCTGCCACTTACCTGTCTGGCAGTCCGCCCCTATGTACCCTGGCTGGCACAAGCATGTTGCAGTCCCGTTCACTGCCTGGCACCTCCCACCGTTCTGGCACACCCTGTTCTCACACGGTGACTCTTCTGCAGGGGGACACCGAAAAAAGAGAAGGGGGAGAATCAACCCAGGCACAAAACCAGCATGTCCCCTGCACACATGGTGATGCCCAGGCCAGGCAGAGAGCACAGCCTCTAGCAGGAGCCAGTGGCCACATTCCCAGCCGTGGCTCTTCCCAAAGCCTTCTCAGGCAGCTCAGCCTTTACACCCCCCTGTGCCTCTTGGATGCCAGTGTGCATGCTGGGCCTTTCTCCCTCCCTCCCTTCCTTCCCCAAAAGTCAACTCAGTGCTTGCCTTCACCAGGCTTGCTGGGAGCCAAATGCTTTGGCAGCAATTCCACCAGGGGGTAGAGGCCAGGGGTGGGGGGAAACAGACCATGACAGCCCCTGCCAGGGACTGGGAGAGTCCCCAGTGCCTTCAAAGGGCTTGGGACCACAGCATCACCTGCAAAAGTAGGGCCTCCAAGACTACTGTTTAAGCACTAACCGCCAGCTTTTCTTTCTCACTGAGGGAGCAGTGCCGGCGGCAGTGGTGAGCCGAGCCCTCGGCAGAGACGGCTGCCAGCAGCAGGAAGGGCTCACAGCCAGAGAAAATTTCCTTTGCCTGCAGCAAACTGAAATCTAAGCTGGCCATTGCAAATTGCTCAAGCCAGCTGCTGCAGGAGCCGCAGTCTCAAAGCTCTCCCCTCCCAAGAGTGTCCCCCAAGCCTGGGGTCTCTGTCCTTCAAGCATGGCAAAGAGCAGACAGCCTCATGCTCACCGGTCTCGCAGCTGGCACCTCTGAAGCCCGGCAGGCACCGGCAGCTAAAGCTGCCAGCACCATTGAGGCAGGTGGCTCCATTCTGACACGGGTGGGAGAGACACTCATCCACATCTGAAACAGAGCCCCAGGTAGGGCAGGAGCTCAGGGCAGGGACAAGGGACAGCCAGACCGGCAGCACACAGTGGTGACACTGGGAGTGAGACCCAATCCCCATGGCAAGGCGGGGGAGCTTAGGGCCAGCACTCACCGACATGGCACCTCTTCCCGGTAAAGCCGGCCAGGCAGGAGCAGGTGTAGGAGGGGTTCCCCGTGATGCAGTCCTCAATACACTTCCCCCCATTCAGGCAGGGCCGTAGCATCAGGCAGACAGAGGCTGTGGGGACAGGCGGTGCCCCCCCCATCAGCTTGCACCCCGGCCGGGCTCACCCGCCACCTTCCAACCACACCAGCACCGAGGTCTGTCCCTGAGCCCACCCGGCTCCCCAGGGTGCTCAGAGAGCCCACAGGGGCTGCCTGCCTCACAGCTGGGCAGGGTCCGCTCCTCGTGGGCTCCCCTGAGACAGGAGGGCAGTTTTATCCCTCCTGTGCAAAGGGGAGAGGCTTCACAGGGTCAGCCCCACTGGCCAGGAGGACATGGAAGTGCCCTTGCTTGTCACCCAGGGCAGCGGGAAAGGTGGACAGGAGAACCCATGTATAGCGAACCCACCGGTCACGCAAGACACACACAGATCACACACAGGTGGGAAAACATGGCTGGGGGGGGGAGCGGGGACGAGGAATGAGAGGCCAGGGGGTCCACGAGGGAAGTGTCAGGACCACCAGGATGGGGAGAGTGGCCCAGTCCTGGGGCCCCGGCCCTGCTAGGGAGGCTGGCACTCAGCAGCCCTTTGCATGGCTCACCCCAGCCTCCTGAGACTTATGGATATGTGCATCCCCTGAGGGTGCCAGCCCCTCATGCCCTGCCCTGCTTGTGCACCATCACCTCCTCCCCGGCCTCCCTCATTGCTCCCCACGGGCTCTTTTCATCTCAAAAGTCTTTCTCCCCTCCCCATTTGCTCTCCCAGCCGTTTCCCAGCCCTGGGGCACCCATGGGTGCCGTCCCCAGCCACAGCGCACACTGAGGATGGTCCCCCCGCGGCTGCCTTCCCTCCCTCCCCAAGCCCTTTGAGCCACCTCCTCTACTCCATGGAGGTGGGGATTGAGGCAAGGAAAGATGGGGCTGGAGAACAGTGTGGGGTTGGGTTGGGAGTTAAATAAACCTAACTGCTGTCCTCTTACTTGTATTGCTGCAGCCCCCCACTTGCACCTGGGCATCATCGATTCTGAACACCCAGCGCCCGGGGATACCCACATTTGTCGTCATCTCCACGTCAGCGATGTCATCAGTGCGGGATCCAGGGATGTTGAAGTAGCGCTTTCCATCACCAGCATTAAAACCTGCCTGGGAGGACAAGGGCAGAATGTAGAGAGATGTCACTAGCGCATGGGGGAAGGCGGCTGGAGCACGAAGGCTCATCTCACCCACCGCTTAGTGCCACTGGCAACACTGCTTGGGCTGACTGTCCCCTTCCACATGCCACTGGCCAGCACTCAGCCCTGTCCACGCGCCAGGACGACAGCCAGCACAATGGGGCGAAGAGGCCATCCTGCCCCCCTTGGTCCCTCCCCTGGGATTCAAAACCCATCCGCTTCCTCTCCACCTGCGGCATTCTGCCTGCTGCAGGCTGGCAGGCAAGGAGCCAAGCACGGATCAACTGCCGGTAAATTCACACATCTGAACGGGTACTGGGGTTCTAGCGGGTGTGGGTGTTGGCTTTTTTTCCCTTAAACACAACAACGCACACAAGCATGAAATAAAAACACAAGCGAAAGCTGTGCTGGCTGTGGCAGCTGCTCTTAAAGGCTGAGGTTAGGAAGGAAAAGGGACTATGAGGTAGCAGCCAAGGCAAAGACCTGTGGTTTTGGGATAACAAAGCCCCCTGTATGGTCTCAGCTTTAGAAGCCAGAGCACACACGGATATGTAAGAACTTTTTTTTTTTTTTAAAAAAAAAAAAAAAAAAAGGAAAGCAGAGGGAGACTTTTCACGTCCAAAAAACCCCAAACCAGGAGCCATGAGCTCACAGGGCAGACACGCTATCTGGGCACCCTGGGAGCCACATTCGCCACTTACCTGCGCTGCAATGCCGCCGAGCCCAGCAAAGTCCCCCCCACTGCTGGCGTGCATACCCGTGGTCCAGGTGATGGACTCATAGTTGAAGATGGTGAAGGAGAGCTTGCCATCTGTGATGAGGACAATCTGGAAAGTGTTTACCTGCAGCAGGGAGGTGAAGCAAGCAGTGAACGGGCAGGAGTGGAGCAGGCAAGCCAGCCAAAAACCAGTCAGAAAATAAAATGACAGAAAGAGGACCTAGCAAAGGGGTGTTTCTTTGAGCCCCGGTCCTCCTCTGCTAGAAAAGGCAGTTGGGTTCAATTATTTTTCAACCTAAGGTGTTGTGATTCCCCAGCCCAGCACCCCAGCCAGCAGAACAGCTCGATTCTCCTACCAGGGGAACAGGAAAAATGGGGAGAAATGTGGTTATCAGGCCCCTGGAAGAAAGGCACTGAACCCTGGACCGGCTCTTCCACACAGCTGCAGGCAAACGCCACTCCGCGGCTGCCCAAGAAGGGGGATGCCAGTGACTTGCAGCCCCAAACAGGGCAAAGAGGAGGGTTTGGTTTTACTGGCCCAGTGCTGCTCTGTCGCGGCAGGGTGTCACAACAGAGCGGCCGGGGTCAGCTTAGCCTGCTGGTGACTCCGTGCTGCACACAGCCAGAGCACCATCGCTGTGGAAGGCACCAAAGCCCTGGTAGGATGCTCCTTTTAAAAATCCCTACCCCTAAACTAACAGCTGCTTTGCCCCAGCTACTCACTGGCGAAAACGAACTGCCCCCAAAGAAGGTGACTCGGTACCAGGTGGCGATGAAGACCCACTGAGCAGAAAACTCTGGGAACTCGGGGAAATACTGCACAATATCTCTGCTTGCTCGCTCTAAGATGGGCTGCTCAGTGCTCTCCCGGTAATACACATCACCAGCCCGCCTGTTATCCACATCTGCCCAGAAAGCAGCCACCACACGCCGGTCCTTCGAGATGGGGAAGGCCACCGGCGTGAACTGGGAGACCTCCTTCAGGAACGAGATGATCCCGTTGTTGTTCACCTGCGGAGAGGGAAGGAAAGAAACGGGCGGACATGGTTGATTCCTGCTGCCAGCAGGAATCTGTGTTTTAGAGGCGCTTTCCATTTCAACTTTATTCTCCACCCCCCACCACCTTTCCACAAACATTGGAGTGTTTCTCCTTCCTGCCCTTGAAGCAGAGACGTGCCCCGGTGTCCATAGCCCCCCATCCCGGCCACTGGAGTGCGGGTGCAGGGAGGCAGTGCCTGAACAAACCCAGCGCTGTTCTCCCCCACGACCAGGCCAGGGGAAGGGGGAACAGCTGAGAAAACCGCGGCAGCCTCGGTGCTTTAAACAAACAGTGCCCAGCACGCTCGGCCAGCTCACACCAAGGGGCTGCTTCGCTCACTATTGCTCTCTCACAGCTGGCACGCAGCCTGCAGGGCTGGGGTCTAGGGCCAGGCATCGTCACCACCCTCCTGGCAAGGTGGCCACCAGCACAGAATGGGGGCAGCCTTGCCAGGCAGCAATCTGTCCAACGGCATGCACAGCACTCCAAGTGAGGTAACGAGCTGTAGAGCTCACAGGCTCGTGGTCCCCAGGTGACCAAGTGCCACCATCCCACGCAAAGCCTCTGATGCTGGCTGGGCCTCAGCAGACTGCTCTCCTTAAAGCAAAGGATGCCAGACACCCAGGGTGAGATACTGCAAGTCCTGAGCCCTTCCCTAGCACTAATTAACTGGGTTAGTAACAGTCCTGGGATGCCTGGCTGAGGGATGCGTGGCAGAGGCATCCCTTAGCCCAGGGAAGGAAGCCAGAGATAGTGGATGCTGCTGCCTGGAGTACTGCCTCCTGGAATGGGGACACAGTGGGAGGAAAGCTGCTGCCTGAACAGTCAGTGAGGGGTCAGGGATCAAAAGGAAACCTTCTTGCCCTCAAATTCCCGGGAAGAAACCCTGCCAGGACCCTACCGCAGTGGCAACCCCAGCAGGGCCAACAGCTCCAAGCTGCTCCATTCCCCTGCCAGCAGTGCTGCCCACAAGCAACAGCAGGACAAGCAGGAGCACACAGCCCCTAACTAGCTCACTGCATGCAATGCCAGCTCCGGCAGCACCAGCCTGGAAAGCCCCTGGGCTGCAGGGTGGGAAAGGGTGCAAGCAAGAGGCTCTCGAGCAGAGAGAGCAGCCCTGGCAGGCAGCAGACAGGGACAGGCAACACTATCACGCTCGCGTGCCGACAAGGAGCCAGAAGCCAGCATCCCGCCAGGAGCCTTAAGGAAACCAAGCGTGCCTGTGCCCTAGCTATCCACATGTCCAGGCTGATGGGAGGGGACACCAGGCTGTGATGGCCACGTCTGATGGTCCCCAGTCCCCGAGGAAGGTGCCCAGCCCCTCCATGTGAACACAGGACAGACCTTGCTGTGACTAAGGGGAAGAGGATTCCTGTTTCCCAAAGCCTCCGTAACCCCACGGTGTCCACGGAGAAACATTCTTCCTCTGATTAAAGCAAGATGGGAGAGAGCCGGAGCCAAGAAGGGCTTTTTTGTTGTTGTTGCTGGTTTTTGCTAAGGAGAAGGGGGTGGTCGGAGGCAGCCCTCGAGGACGGAGATTTCCAGGTGAGCCCAGCCCCACACCAGCTCCCCTGGGACAGCGGCACCTAGTCCTGCCGCACAGGGGCCCCTACAGAGCTAGAGGGTCTCAGTTCAGGGGAGGGGGACGCACCGCTCTCTGACCCCTGGAGCCCCTCTGAGGCCCAGAGGTGTGCTGCTGATCACACCACCTGGCTTCTCCCAGCCTCTTCTATCCTCCCACCATGGCCCAAGCCCCAAGCCCAGGTCCCTGCTGCCCAATGGCAGGGCCAGCACTTTTATTAGGGCGAAAAAAAAAAAAAAAAACCACTGGCAAGGACCAAGGACCTCTCCTCCTGCATTTAGCTGAGGTGGTGGGACAGTACACGAGCCCAGCTCCAAGATGGCACCAAGGCAATGCTCATCCCTCTTCTTCGCCAGCCAGGTCTGGATTGCTGGTCAGCCCAGAACAAACCAGGGGAAAGCTCTCTGTCCACCGTCCCCTCCAGGTGGCTCAGCGGTTGCAAGGGAGCATGTCAGCAGGGGTCCCAGTGGCCCAGCCGTCCTGGCAGGCACAGGGAGGAGAGGGATCAGGATGTGCCGAGCAGCCAGCCAAGCCCGCTGCAGCACAACCCAAAGGGCAGCTGTGTTTATTCTGCATCACACCCAGAGCCCCACCATCCACTCCTCCCCGGCAAGGGACACCATCCAGGGGCAGCCATCCAGGAGCTGTGGAGCTCTCACCCGCCAGCCGTGCCCAGCTCCCTGGCGCTGGGACCAGTTCCCCGAGGCGGGGGGGGTACGCCTGGGGCTCCCCAGTGCGGCCAAACGCCTGGACCAGCATCCCCAGGGCAGTGGGGCCAGGACCCTCGTTGTGCCACCAACCGGGGGTCCAGCGTGCTTCCACCGCCGTCCCGGACCCCTCCCCGCCCTCGGCACACCGTTATGGCTCCGACGCTCCGAGTTAAACAGGGAGCGCCCCACGGCCCCGTGGAAATCCAGACGCGCTTGGATCCATCCACGCGGGACACTGATTTTAAAAATAAGGGGAAAGAGCAGGCAAAAAAAAAAAAAAACCCAAAAAAAAAAACAAACCAAAACCAACGGTCAATAGGAGGCCCGTCGGGAGGCCGTCCCCGGTACTCACGTAGAGGCCGGTGTGCCCCGCGCCGAAGAAGGGGAAGGGGACGGAGAGGGGCCGCAGCTCGGAGCCGCCGTCGTCCTGCTTCCGCGTGACGGCGTCGCCCTGGGTGGGCCCGAAGGGGTAGAAGTCCGCCAGAGGCACCACGCCGCCCGCCCACAGCCACTCGCCCAGGGCCACCAGCACGGCCCAGCCCGCCAGGCCCCGCATGGCCACACGGGGGGAGCCCTCCGCTCGCCCGCCCTCCTCTCACGCCGGCACCGGCCACCGCGACATGGCGGGGGACGGGCGCGAACCCGGTGCCCGCTGCCGGGCTCCTCCACCCCACCAGCCCCGC